GCCGAGCAGGGAGCCCGATGCGGGACTCGATCCAGGGACTCCAGGATCATGACCTGAGCCGAAGGCAGTCGCTTAACCAACTGAGCCACCCAGGTGCCCGGCACTCCTTAATTTGATGTAATGTCTTGGAGATAACACAGGGAACAATGGAAAGACCTAGGTTTTGGAGCCATGAAAATGGGCGTAAGTAGTTGTATGTCTACATGTCTCTGTTGGTTAGCTCATTCATTCAACTAATATTTATTGAGCATTTAATAAGTGCCAGACATTGTGCTAGGTGCTGTTAATATAAAGATAATTGAGTCCTCTCCAAGAAGCTTAAAGATTTATAAGTAGCTACATAATAACACAGTGTGGTAAAGTCAGTGACCGTCATGTGACTAAAAAGAAAGATCATGGATAGGTAAGCACCTTAGTTCTAAGGAATGTGGGTGGTAGATAAAGAGAAAATAAGAGACTGTCAGGTGAGGCATAGGAAAGTACATGTGGACCAAAGCAGAGTCCCCTCCACCCCTAGCAGAATAAAGGAAGACGGGGTGGGAATGGCCCTAAAGAGAGGTAAAACCGTGGACATTGACTGGAACATGAAGGTGTATAGGTACTAAAATCGTGGAGTGACTGGGGAGGTACATAGTGGCTGAGAATCATGAGAAGTGTCTTGTGTGCCATATTAAGGAGCTTGGTTTTATTTCATCATAGAAACAGGAAAAGTTTTTTGTTTTGTGTTTTTTTTTTTTAAAGATTTTACTTATTTATCTGACAGAGGAGACACAGCGAGAGAGGGAACACAAGCAGGGGGAGTGGGAGAGGGAGAAGCAGGTTTCCCGCGGAGCAGGGAGCCTGATGCGAGGCTCGATCCCAGGACCCTGAGATCATGACCTGAGCCGAAGGCAGACGCTTAACGACTGAGCCACCCAGGCGCCCCAGAAACAGGAAAAGTTTTAAGGAGGTAAACAGCGTGGGCTTTTTTTTTTTTTCTTCTCCCCCCCAAAAAACTGCACGGACTGCTGTATTGGATAGATAAGTAGTTACAGTAAGGCCACACAAGAGTAGTGAGGGGATGGTTATTGGAATGGAAAAGAGGGACAGATTTAAGAAACTAGTGCAAATAAAACTGGATTGGAACATAAGGGAAATAAAACATTAATGTTGGTTCTCATGTTTATGTTGTGTCTGTTGCACCTCAGCTACCAAATGTTTAAGTAACTGTGTGGCAGACGGTGGTTAAAATGTCAGAAACCCTGTGGGTAGAGGACAAGGAAAAATCAAGGGGAGCGTCCATTTGTCACTTCCACTGTGGGCACTTATACTTGGATATGATGAGTTTATTCAAGGTTGATAAGGGAGACTGAAGCCTGCAGGAAATCTTGAGAGTAGATAAAATGACCCAGGAAGAGCATGGAGGCAAAAGAGCAGTTGGTTCACAGGACTGAAAGAACCTTAGGGAATGTTTGTTGGAGGAAGACAAAAGCTTCCTGGAAGCAGAGAAGGGACGTCAGAAGAATGCATAGTGTCAGTGTACCTTGAAGAGGTTCAGTGTAAGATGAGAGACCGCAAGACAGCAAAATTAGATCATTCTGTTGGGCTTAACCAATTAGAAAGTTTGGGGTAATATTGGAAACCAGATTGCTTTGCTCTTTATAGTTGTGAGGCCTTGAATAAATCACCTGTAAGCCTGATTTCTTTTTCCTGAAACGGAGATACAGATCCTGCTTATTACGAAGATCAGAAGTAGTGCATTTGTAGTATCTAGACATACTTGGCATATAATGGGTATCACTAAATAATGTTGGGTAATATAATTTTATGTACATGCAACCAGATTGAGCCTGGTGAGTTTAGAAGTGATCTTATGAGTTATGTATTAATACTGTGAAAGGCAGACCTTAACATTAAACCTTTTTTTTCCTCATTTTTGAATAGCTAATTCACATGTTTCAGATTGAGTTCAAAAGTTCTCTCTTCTGTGTACCAGCCATTCAGTGTGGTTCCCTCTCCTTATCATTTTCTTATATATTCTTTTGAGATGCTTTGTGAATGTCGTATTAACTGCATGTTGAAAAAATGGGCAGCTGTAAATGTCTTGGAGCAAAACAAGAAATGTTAATGGTTACTGTTAATTTACTGTAGCCTGTGATAATCTATGTATGATTATGCTTTATGTTCAACTACATGACAGATTGAGAGCCTTCTAAATTAAAGTATCTAAACTGAGCTGGGATCTATATGAGTGATTCTTAGAATACTTGAAGAGCTCATTTTGAGGGCAAAGAGCCGCTTTTAAGAGCAAATTCAGTATGTGGAACTGTGTGTTTTGGGGAAGTTAGGGCTTTAAGACAAAGTATTAGGGCATAAAATCTAGCTGATGTTGATAAGAATCCTATGAATTTTTAAAATAACCATTTTGGTAGTTAAATCTTTCTGCATGCTTTTCCCTTTCACTTTTGTCCTGGAGAAACAGTGTAGGGTAGTATAGTGCTTAAGATGATTGGCTTTGGAGTCAGGTTACCTAGGGTGGGCGTCATCTTAGCAAAATGCAATGAGCTGGAGCCCCACTAATAAATTGTTTCTATGCTTGAAGAACCATCGGAGCTGTAACATGACATGGTGCATAAAGCTGTTGGCACAGTATTTGGTACCAAGTCAATACTGAATTACTGCTATTTGCTGATGTTATGAAGCACTTCTTCAAAGTAAGCTCCTAGGGTTGAGTTTGTTCATTTAAAAATATTTCTATATATATTATATTTAAAATTATATTGCTGGTTGTTGTATACAGAGTCATACTCTGTGCTGTATTGCCTGGCCCTTGCTGTTTTAATAGTTGCCATTTTAAATTGATTGTTACTAGTGTGTTACAAAATTCTGAAAGCATGGAGAAAATGGGGGCCTAATGTTATATATACTAGTTCCATTGAAAACAGAAGCTTCATCAGTGGCACAAATTCTTGGTAAGGGAATATATTCAGCAGACTAGCCTGAGGAAAAGATAGGGACCCTAAACATCAAGAAAGTGACAACTCCTATGGGGAAAGTTTGAAGGAGTGAATAGGCAGTGACATTAAATGATAGGTCTTCTATGAAGTGCTAATGACCAGAAGTGTTTGTTTTTTTTTCCAAGAAAGTTTCAGTGTCTCTTATGAAAGTTAGCCTTACAGCTGCTTTATCATTGATTATGATAATAAATTTGTCATCAGTAAAGACTCATGTTTAATTCAGTTGTACATGTGGCCATTGTTTTTTTGAATTCAGTGAGAGGAGAGAGGAATTGAAGCAATAGCTTTTCAGGGCAGAAACTGAAAAATTTCTGTAAAATTTTTTTTCTGATTACCGAAGTAATAATTTTAACCTTACTGAGAAAAATTGCAACAACAGAAAATTACAGTCTTGATAACCTTGTAGGGAACAATTCTGCTGTGGCTCCCCCCCACCTTGCCTGTCTCCACGTGGGACCCAGGAGAAAGCCTTAATTACAGTCATGATGGTACGTCCTTCATGTTCCTAGAATAAGGAACAAAGGGAGATAAGCGGCCTTTTGAGAAACCCCACTAGGCCATTTTCTTATCCTCCCAGTTTCATTTGAGGTTGGGACTTTCCACTTGCCCTCCCCTCTGGGCTATAAAACTGCTGAGCAGTTCTTAGAATTGACTCCATCGCAGCAGACCAGCCCACTGCCTGTGCCTCTGTTGGGTGTCATCTGGCCCCTCTGGTTTGGTGTCTGTGAGGGGACAAGAGACAGAGCTCACACCATGCTGATCTGGCTTTTGCTGTAAGTAACAAATGAATTAATTTATTTAGGCTTATTTTCTCCTTACTGACCAAATTGGTGGAAATGTGGCCCCATTAGCCATTGTGCTACTGCTATTACTTAGGGACTGCTTGAAAAAACCCTGAATATGTATCAAGTGTCTTCTATCTTTACCAGATTCCTAAGTTGTTTGGCAACTTTTCTACTGATAAGCTAACCTAAAGCCTTATTCCAGTCTTCGCTCTCCTTTTTACTTTGTATTGAAAGTTTTAGTTGAAACTGTTTTACATTGTCCGTAACAGTTGAATTGTACCATTTTTGACATCTTAAAATAAGATTTCTTTTTAGGCTTCTTTACATTTATTAATACCATAAGAACCAACTAGCAAAATGCATGTTTGTGGGGGTGCTGTATACTTCTAAAACTTTGTTATTATGTAAACTTACAGATGTATGCAAAAGTAGAGAGAATATTATAACCCTAGTGTACCCATCATTCCTGTTCAGCAGTTACCAGGCATACTTATTTCGGCTCATATTTCTCTTTGGATGAAGTAGAGAAACAAAATTTTTATATTTGAAATGTAGTTTAATTTCCACTGAAATTACTGCCTGATTTCCTTTAGATATTTCTGGCAATTCATTTTAGTGTTGGAGTAGATAGCTATTCTCTTTTATTGAGCTGCTATAAATAAAGCCTCCTTGAAACTACCTTAAACTGTATTTTTTTTTGGAATTTCAAAAGGAAAAGGAGCATTGTTACATATTAGGCTTTCGTATCTTTTTAAATAAAAATCACCATTAATTTGGGGTGCCCCGGTGGCTCAGATGGTTGAGCGTCTGCCTTCGGCTCCGGTCATGATCCCAGGGTCCTGGGATCGAGCCCCACATCGGGCTCCCTGCTTGGCGGGGAGCCTGCTTCTCCCTTTCCCTCTGCTGTTACCCCGGCTTGTGCTCTCTTGCTGTCAAATAAATAAATAAAATAAATAAAATAAAATAAATAAATAATTGAGAGTTGGGAGGAAATATTTAAGAAAAAACAGTAGTCTTCAGAATGGGTAATGCATGTATCTAGAACCTAAAATTGTGTTTTTTCAAGTAGCTGCTATCTCCTTGACAGAAAAATGGATTATAAATGCAGAAACTGAAATGAATCAGAATGTTAGAGATACACCGGTGTTCGTATGGTATCACTGTGAATAAGTAACAGGAGTTGAGAATGAAAGCACTTGAGTGGGAATTGAATCAACCCCCCAAAATAGAGTTTAGTTGAAGTGGATTGGGGTCTTTAAAGGTCACTTAGACACTATAAAGTCTTTACTAAACACGTAAATTGAATGACTGGCTCATACATATTTATGAGTCATCAAAAGATAAAAGGTTACAGGTTGTATTTAATTTTGTGGGTTGTGAGAAAGCTGAAGCATTACTACTAATAAATTGGCTTCTTGGGATTTAGATATATTTCCAGAGCCTCTGAATTTATTAATTTAGCACAAATTATTGTCTCAACTAGTGCAGTTCAATAGAAAATACAATGTGAGCTACATCTGTAATTTAAAAATTTTCCAGGAGCCACATTAAAAAGAAAAGAGTGAAATTAATTTTAATATATTCTCAGTCTTTAAGATGTTGTCATTTTAACATGTAACCAAATAAAAATAATTAAAATATTTTTTATACATTTTCTTTATACTAATCTTCAGTTCAGACTAGGCAGATGTGGCCAAGAAGCTATCATACTGGGTATCAGTGGTATAAAATGTGCATTGTTTCCACTACAGAGCCTTGATAAATGTCAGTATTTTCAGTGTGGAATTTCATTTTGAGTAATTAAGTTGGTTTATAATATCTAAATGTGATTAAAAGAATTAAAACTGTCATGCTTCATTGAACTTTTTCTTAGAACTGATGATATATTTTCATCCACTTTCCCATCTCTTGAAGAGCTTTTAATTGAAAATCAATTAACCAAAGAAAGAAAAGGTACAGTTAAAGGTGTTAGGTTCAGAATCTGAATTAAGTTGTCTGTATTTTCAGTAAAAGCTACACTACATTGCCTTAGCAGTCTGAGTCTCTTTGAATCTGCATTTATTTTGATTTTGTTGGTGGGGGAGGGGGGGTGAACTTTGTCAGTCTGAATTGCTTGCTCCATAATATTTTCTCCTGACTTCTCTGTAGCTCAACCCTTAGACTGAGTGCATTGGCAAATGAGCAAATCCGTACACTTAACAACAGCTTGTCCTTTCATTACAAAGTTGGTACCAAAAAAGTAGACTTCTTATTTCAGATTTACTCTACAGTTCCTAAATTAAAACTAATGAATTAAGCTCTTTGTATATACATACTAGTCATTTTGTACTTGGAAAGTGATAAAAACAAGTATTTCATATTTATTTGAATTTCTGTATTCCTTAATATGTTGGTATCTGATATTTCCTTGAATGTTGCATGAAAATGAATTACAGAATTACAGAATCAGGCTGTATGTTTGACAGATTTATAACTAGTTTTGTTAGGTTTACTTATCTAAGTCATTGTTTTCTACTTTGTTTGCTAGTCGGCAGCAGGAAATAGAAGAAAAACTCATCGAGGAAGAAACAGCACGAAGAGTGGAAGAATTAGTGGCAAAAAGGGTAGAGGAAGAATTGGAGAAAAGGAAGGATGAAATTGAGCGAGAAGTTCTCCGAAGGGTGGAGGAAGCCAAGCGCATCATGGAAAAGCAGTTGCTCGAAGAACTCGAGCGACAGAGACAAGCTGAGCTTGCAGCACAAAAAGCCAGAGAGGTAACGCTCGGTCGTTTGGAAAGTAGAGACAGTCCATGGCAAAACTTTCAGTGTTGGGTGTGCCTCCTGCTCAGTTCGGAAAGAGATGGAATACAGACTAATTCCTTTCTCATCTAAACTTAACATTGCTGCGAAAGTTAATTTTTTAGCCTATTCAGAAGTGCTGACTGATATTTAAAAGTTATTTTCATAAAACGTATTCAAGGATACTTTTTGATTTAATGGAACTGGCTTACATATTTGAGAAGTGTTTGAAACTTTTGCCATGGCTGCAGGACTTACATTCTTTTTTGGGAGGGTGGGGGGAGACAGGGAGTGGTCAAGGGAAAAGGTTAAAATCCACCTGTGGATATGCATTCTTCTTTTCTGTGTGTCATTCTTAACTGCTGGACTGTGAGAGGCTGTTTGCCTTCAGTCAGATTACAGAGCAGGGCCTGACATTGAGTGACCGCACCTGCTTTTGATACATAGGTTTTCTTGCTCTTCTTTTTGTCCTCCTTTTATCCCTCACCCCTACCCCAAATCCTGCTTCAACACAGTGGACTAATTCTAGCACTCTGATCATAAGGCCCTCCATTTTCCTAATGTGTTTCAAAGAATCTTTTTAGGAAAAATGTCCAGATTATTCATCCACTTTTTTAGTATCTACTAACAACTCCTTTTTTTCTCTAGAGAGTTATGAAGGAACAGGTTGTCCTTGTCTGGAGTCAAGCTAAACACATGATTTGTTTTATCAGCAGCTGGAGCAGAAGTTGAAAATGTCTTTCTGTGAGACAGTAATTTGCTACTGAAGCTTTATGGCTTATTTGCACTGATTACTCCAGGTTCCTAAAACTTGCTGAAAGTCACTGAAACACTCAAGGCAAATTACTTTATGGCCCTGAGTGTCCCTTGACATAGTTTGCATAATGAATATGAATTCCATTGGTGTATGCCATAGAAAATCCTGTAGTTACATTTTCTTGAACTTAAATATTTGACTCAAAATATGTGTCTCATATCATTGTTAATCTTGGCCTTATTGTGTACAAGTTGGCATCATATTAAATCTCTTTTTTTCCAGTAAGCTTAGCTTTTCAAATGCATTTTCCCTTGTGCTGTCTTTAAGTAGATACACGTGTTTATATTTGGTAGCTATCACAGACTGTGCAATTTGAATGTATGAAATTTTATTTATGTCAGTGCTTTTAATAATGATAATTTTGGAGTAATGGTGCTGTCTTGTAGCGAGTTATTAATCATAGGAAGATTTTTTTCTCTTCGTTTGCTTTTTGTTTCATGTTAACAATTTTTTTTTACACGGACACAACCCTCTGACAGTCTTTCCAAATATTAAAATCATTTGAATATGTATGCTGTGATCTGAACACTGCCCAAACCATCAAGCAATCTTCATATAGTTTGCATTATAAAATTTCATTAAATGCTCCAATAAAAAATAAATTACAGAATTTTATTTCCGGACCATGCACCCCCTGGATTCCTGAATTTCAGTTCAGACTGTAGATGACAAGATAAGCTGCCTTTAGAAATTGTCAACATCTGAATGTTAAGTCCATTTTCCCCATGGAAGAGCCCTTAGTTCCATGAAGTATGGATTACCATTTGTATTTTTCACTAACAGTAAATGTATTTTTCTTATTAATTGTTTGCCTTAGGAATGATGAATTACATTTTTTGTTCCTTCTTACCATAAACATCTGCATTCCTCAGCTCAGCCTTCCTTGTATGTTGTTTCTTTATAAATGGTTGAGCTGCTGATGCAGGTATTGCCAAGCTAACAGTACAAATCATTTTAAAGAGGAAGCTGGCGCGTATGGCAGCCGAGGAGCACACTCTGCAGGACACTGGACAAGACAGTAAATATTCAACTTTTAATGCTGATTAAAGGAGTATAGGTAAAGAATACGTAGGTATACATAATTGGTGAGACAAATATTCACTTTATTTATATTTTATATATTATTTTTTTAATTTGGTAAATACTATCCAGTTTTGTAGTTGTCCTTGTTGATTTGTGTGATATTAAAGTATTAGTAATAATTGCCAGGAAACTATCATTAGGGAGGGTTTAGTCGGTTGCTGTTTGGACTGGGAGGGATGATTTAAATTTCGTGCTAGAAACAAATTTTAGTGACTGCACAGTTTATCATTTGTCAGACAGAAGGTAGCTATAAAGCTACCCTCTAAGTCAGATCAAAAAAGTTCAGAGGAAGATTAGTAAATATTTATCAGTAAAAATAAACATTTTATTTTTCTAACATCTTAACATGTCCTCCCCTTTAGGAGGAAGAACGTGCAAAACGTGAGGAACTAGAGCGAATACTGGAAGAGAATAACCGAAAAATTGCAGAAGCACAAGCCAAACTGGTATGTATGAAGTATATATGAAAATTACTTTATATTTGCTTTATTTTTTTCAGATTTTGTGGAATGATTTCTTAGAGTTTTCAGGGCCCTTTTCAGGGATTTGAGGCAAGAGCAGGAATAGTTGACTAGATTTTAGCGAGTGTCTTCCAGAGGAATCTATTGGGGCTATCCAGAAATTCTACTTTCTGGAGAGAAAATTCTAAAATTCGCAGTGGTTTAAGACCGGTTTCCTGGGAGAATTGGACTAACCCCACTCTAAAGTTTTTCTGTCTTAACCTCATTTACATTTTTATGCCTAACCAATAACAACAAAAGTTCGGAAGTGTTTAAACTAAAATGCAGCATTTCACTTCACATTAGTTACCTTGTTCCCTACCCATTACTAGGTGAAGTAGATAGCATGTGTTTGGTGGTAAGTGTACCAGACTAATAAGCTCTTTACCTGTTCCAAGTTTGTAGTCTAGCAAGGAATACAGAGACTGAAGTAATTATGATCTAGGGCAGAGCAATTTAAACATTTTAATGAAGAAGCCAATGTAAGAATATTGAGGTAATTTTTTAAAAAATAAAAAAAGAACTAATCTATTTTTCCTTCCAGTTCTGTTTTTTAGTACTTTCTGAGTTTTTGGTTTGTTTCTTTGTTTTTAGCACAGACTAGCATTTAAAGTGGAGTAAAGAAGTAGAATAAAAATTTGGTGTCATAGGGTTTTCCATTTAAGAGTATATATTTTGAAGCAGTCTCTGTATGAAGAAGAAAGCTAGAATTAAAGGACTGTGGATATAAGGAAGCCAAAAAACAAAAGGAGGCTAGGTTTTGGAAGGAAAAACTTTCTTTTCTCCCTGAAGGTGGCGTATAGGAATTCTGCTTCAAAGTAGGAACATAAGTCAGAGATGGAAGGAAATTTACTTAGGATGAATGTGGGATGAGTGCCATTTAGTGCCCAGGAATAGAGACATGACCCAGGATGGACTCTGGGTTCTAGACATCTTACAGAAGTTTTGTCTAGTTAGAAATGTGTTGAGACCAAAACAGTCATAGGAAGACATTTGCTGCCAAGTCATACTGTTGACCGGGGCGGGGGGCACGGGGGTGCGCAAGTTGTAAGCTCCAGCTAAGTGATTTAGAAAAAAGAAATTCTGTGACTGTTTATAAAGGCACAGAAAAAGATCTGAGTTGGGCTAACCAATCCCAAGGAGAGTAGGGATGAAGGAGGACCATAAATAATGTGATAACTTTTTACATAAGGTTAAAACTATGGGGCAATTAGTTCTAAAGCATGAGGTTTTAAAAGATAGCATACCCCAGAGAAAAGCCAGTACTGGAAATATCTGAAGCAACTTAGCATGACACCGTGGATTCTTAGCTATTACTGCTGTCCTGGCTGTTGTAAAGGCCGTCATGAAAGGGAGAGACTTAATCCTGCTTACCCAATGAAAAGACCTTAAAATCTCTTAAGGTAGAAAAGCCCTATCTATGAATGATGATGCACTCTGAATGGAGTAGGAGTCATTATAAGGTATATCCCTACGTGTTTATCAATTAGTATATGATAATGCCTTTTTTAGTGATTCTGTATAAGAAAAAGATCTCAGTGCAGGTAGGAGGAAGTAAGATGGAAACTAGGAACCTTAATTTGAGTTTGGAAGGTTGAGCTTTGAAAGGTAAATATAGTGTGGTTTTTAAGGCATGGATATTTCCAGAAGGGAGGAACAGTATAGTTGGTATTTAAAACGGTGAACCAGAATTGCCAAGCGGGTGGAATGGAATTCCTCTTAGAACATGATAAAAGAGTGGCTAGCATGGTGAGTTCAGTTTTTGGGTCACCTGGAATGCCAGATTGTGACTTACAGAGCAGAGCTCCTCAACCTGTTAGGCCCTGCCAAGATCCCTTCTGATCCTGGGATAACTGGGTGCCTTTAGGGAAACTTGGTTGGGCTCTTTATATTCCTTTTGGCAGCTTTCTTTGTTTACCCACATGGACCTTAAAAATATGACTTTGTGTGTCACTACTGGGAAAAGATTAGCAAGCTTATTCTAGAGCAGTGCTTCTCAAGTGGTGGTAATTGGCCAGTTTTTGTTCTTTTAATCCTCATTTGTCTCAGACCTCTACTTTTGCAAAATACAATTAAGATGAATTACTAGAAAAATGAGGTCAAGTGGCTATAAAAGCTTCTAAAACACTCCTGGTTTCTACATATCATGTTATGGATCCATTACAGTTTGCAGACTGTTTGCTGATTCATGAGCCATACTTAGACGAGCACTATTCTAGAACATTTGAGTTTGATAGAATAGATTGTACAGTGACACTGTTTTGACTGCATGTTATCAATAGACTTCAGTGAAAAGGTATCTTGGAGAAAAGGAGTTTGAATTAGAGAATATTTGGTAAGGATTTGGGCGTAACTCATTTATTTCCTGTGTATGATAAAGTTGGAAGTTTAAGAAATCGTCCATGTTGGAGAAAATTAATTTTTATTTGGTTCTATTGGTAGTGAGTCATATGCTTGCAGGGAAAGTGGAGCATCCTTTGTGTTGGAAAAGACAAGGAAATGTTGCTACATAAAGATGGCAGGCACAAATGGAGATTTCTTTAATTTTTGTTCTCCATTCCTTGTCCTCTCAATTTTGAGCAAGTTCTTTAATCTTTTTACACATTTATTAGGAAATATTACATGGACTATATTGAATGTCCCATTAGAAGAATCGATATTTAAGAAAGGAAGGGGAGTGTGCTAGTGTTGTAGATAGCATGGGACTTGTCCTGGTTATGTCAGTATTGGTCGTTTATCTTGTTGCAACAGCAGTTCTGTTTGCTTTATGACATAATAAATATGCTAGAAATGTGGATCGGTTCATTGTATGGCGAGAAGAATGCGATGCATTCTTACTTCTAGAAGGCCAGGGAGGAAGAGGCAGTAGCCAAGCTTAACTATTCACATAACCTATATTGAGAAGTTAATTATGTGTAAAAAGCAATTTGGAAATAAAAATGGACAAGACATTAAGTTCTCTTATTTAATGTATCAATGGTGGAGACAGGGACAATCCCAAGAAAAGTTAACAAGTAATAGGAAAGTATTTGGTAGTGGGATGGATGATGTGTGGTAATTGACATAATTGCCCCAGGGTGGCCTGGGAACCTTCCTGGAAGAGACAGCCATGAGCCAGGCCTCAGTGGCCAGTTAGGAATTGAATTTACCGTGGATGCAGGAGTGTGAGGAAATGAAGCCTGGCAAAGGCCTTTTCGGGATTTCATAGAATTAGAATAAAGACAAGAGTGTGTGGGCACTCTGAGGGTGGTAGTAGCTATAGTAGTAAACCGGCTTACTGCATAGTAACAAGTCTGTGGGGTAAGTAATGGTAGATGCGGTCTGAAAGCAGATTAAAGACAGGTTGGAAAAGACAGTACCCGGGGGGAGATTTCTTAAACATCATAACCATGAGAGAATAATACAACAGTTTCTTTCAGGTCAGTAAAGAAGACCAACTCCGTAATAGAAAAAGAAAAGTGAGAGATGTAAATGAGAATTCACACAAGTAGAATGAAAAGTTCTATGATCAGTTCTTAAAAATATATCCCAGTCTCGCAACTTCTGAAGGAAAACAAAGAAAGGACTCCCCCATCCCCTTTCCTTTTTCTGCAACAGTAAATACCATAGAAAAGACTTTATTTCCCTCATTAACACCAAGTGTTGGCAAGAGTAAGGTATAAAGAGACCTTTTATATGGTGATGGAAGGAGTTTATAATGGCCCCTGACCATTTTAGAAAATAGTACTGAATCAGTAAATATCAGGAACCTTAAATCTGTTTCTAAGAATTTATCTTGTGAACACTGAATCAGATACAAATATGGTAATACAGAAAAAAATTCTCACCATATTATTTAGAATAGTGAAAATTTCGCAGATTTTTAGATGAATTATAACATGTGCTTACAGCTGGTTTTTCTGTAGTCTAAAAGTATTTGAAGGTAATACAGGGGAAATAGCTAAATACAAAACTTATGTATACACTATCCTGCTAATTTGAAAAGTACATTTGCGCAGTTTAGTAGATGGGAAAATATGCCAAAAGGCTAAAAATAGTTATCTCTAATTGGTAGACTTAAATGTAACTTTATACTTTTCTCCAGTTTCTGTATTTTATGCAACTAACATACATCACTTTTCATGATCACATAAAAATAATTACTAAAGAAAGTAAATTTAAACCACACTTTAACGGACTTTTAAGTAGGTCCTTGTGACAAAAGTTCAGATTGATTGTAGTAATGACTGTAATAAGGAATGCATTAACTTAGCCACATGGGCTCTCTCGTATGTGAAATTCTTTTTTTTTTTTTAATTAGAGAGACAGAGATAGGAAGACAGCAGGAGCAGGGAGGAAACGGGAAACAGGCTCCTCATGAGCAGGGAGCCTGATGTAGGACTCAGTCCCAGGACCCTGGGATTATGACCTGAGCCGAAGGCAGACGCTTAACGGACTGAGCCACCCAGGTGCCCCTCGTATGTGAAATTCTTATGAGGTGCTCCAGACCAGGGTAGTTTCTGCTCACATTCCAAATTGTTTGTGAAGATACTTGATTTTATCTGTCCAGAAGGAGGCAAAAGAATATTAATCAACAGACATGTTTGATTTATAACCTCAAACATGAATTAATTCACATGTGGTTTGGCTTGACTGGACTTGGCCTTTTGGCAGATTGGTTTCTAGTTCTGGGTTAGTATTGGCAGTGCACAACTGTCTTCAGATATTTGAAAGGCTGTTAATACGACGGAGAATTTTAACTTTTTATTTGTTTATTTTAAAGATTTTATTTATTTGAGAGAGTGAGAGAGAGCATGAGAGGGGAGAGGGCCAGAGGGAGAAGCAAACTCCCCGCCGAGCAGGGAGACCGATGTGGTGGTATCGATCCTGGGACTCTGGGATCATGACCTGAGTCCAAAGGCAGTCGCTTAACCACTGAGCCACCCAGGCGCCCAAATTTTAATTTT